TCCTGCTGAGGTACCCAGCAGCCAGATTGAAAACAGTTTTGCTGTTAGGGGTTGTGCAGAGATTGTAGGACTACCTAACAAGGCTCATTCAATGGTAGATGATGGAACTGGTGTGGCAGGAGTCTTTTCTGATTGTGGTAGGATTTCAACAGTTGGGAGGGTCCAGACAGAAGAATTATTAGTTATGGGCAGTCAAACAAAGCCAGATGAAATAAATCATGTTAAAGTAAATAAGACGAGGAGACTTGAACATACAGAATCATCACCTGCAGAAAATATGCGTGTAAAAAATGTCTCCAAGTATGTTCTCAGTGCAGCAAAGGACCCAGAATTTGCTCAAAAACTGCACAATGTTCTAATAGAGAGTGGTGCCTTGCCACCTCCTGATCTTTTTACAGATATAAATCCCCAAGATAGGGGTGTAGGTAAAGTAAATGAAAAAATTGTTGGTGATACTGTTCAAGGTGACACAAATAGATTGTTATTAAGCTACAAAAAGCCTCTCATGCCCTCACATGGGATGGGCTCTGCCAGTGATACTAGGTTATGTCAATCAGCTGACTTGTTAACTGAGCAGCAAAAAGAATTGCATACAGATGATGTTGAATTTTACAATTCTTCACAGGGTGATAATACAAGGAATGCGTATTTAATGGTTTCTGACAGAGATAATGACGTAGATCAATCTAACACAGTAAATGTTGATTTGGCTTCTATCCATTCAAATAACATATGTAAAGAAAAGTTTCCCAAGTCTTCCTTGCCCAAGGCAGCTATTTCTTGCAGAAGACAAAATGGGGTTGATTCTTTCTGTGACGATGATGAAAATGGTTTTAGAAACAATGTTGAAGCTTCTTATAATGACATTGAATTGGGGAAAGATTCAGCTGTTCAAATAAATGATACAGGGGTCAATGTAGATTGTTATGGTGGTAGAAACAAGGAAGTTAACCCAGTGCTTGGTGAAGGCACAGAATGGGAAATTCAATGGGAGGATCTTGACATTGGTGAGCGTATTGGTATTGGTAAGTGTATTCCCTGGATTTTAATGTTACATTTTAGATATACAAAGCCATATAAAAAATAAGGTTTTGCATGAATAAATTTCTTGTAGGCCTCCTTTTTTGCACTTCTTTTTCAAATAAAAATCACTTTTTTTGTTAAAAGATAGGTTTTGAAAAAGGGTCTTGCTAACTTGTGCCCTAGCAATTTCTTTTAAAATGTTAATAATAATTATGTAAATTTTTCATAAAACTAGTAAAGGCCTATAAAAATAGTTGTTCTAGTGCTTTCTCAGAAGCTAAAAGTAGTAGTTTCGGGAAAGAGGTGTATAACAAATTGCACAGTGGAATAGAACACTTTTAAAGCTTAAACTAAAGGGACATTAATAAGATAATTGGCCCTTATAATAGCTTAATTGTTTCTTCACGCAGAATTGGAATTTAGATGTTTAGCTAGAACTTCATCTCCATTAATGGGAAATTCTTTGTCTAAGATGCTCTTTATCTAAGATGTATTCTTGCTACTCAAATCTTGTACACTCATGTTCTTGTAGGTTCTTATGGTGAAGTTTATCATGCTGATTTGGATGGCACTGTAAGTACACTCACATTTTTGTTGTCTTTAGTACATCTACAGTTTTCTTTCTAATGTTTTGTTTTCATTCTATTTAATATGTTATGGGAATTATGGTCTGAAAATTTCCAGATAACTTCTTGATGACTTCATCATTCTGGTTTATGCTACACTTTTGAAATAACATTTGATGTCCCCATGTCTTGTTTCATATCATATTAAGAATATGGACACATTTTAACTTGCAATGTTTTCACTTACTCACAATTGAGTCTATTCCTTGAGTAGTTTTGTGATGAAAGAATCTAGAATGTTCATGAAATTCTCACTTATGCAGAAATTTGTAAAACCATGCTTTTGAGAAGACACAAATATGTTTTTGTGTTTCTAACTTTCCTCTATATTCAGATTCTGAGAGGGGTTGGGCTGACATAGGGTCTAGCATTAATCTTATTTTAAGATAACTTGGCTTCATGCATGTCTTTGAACATGCACCTTCTTTCTCTATGGCTGTCTAGATATTTAGTAAATTGCTTTTATTAGACAAAAAGATATGGATGAATACACACACATTTTTTTTCCTTATGCAAATGGACACATGTGAACATTATATGTTCTCCAGGTTCCATCTATGTCATCTTGATTTTGGTGTTGTAACTTTTGTTGCTCGTATCCATGAAAGATCTCATGATACAAGACTTGCTTTGATTGTGAAAGTACGTAGTAGTATTTTTGTGCACTGATTTTGGTAATTTTGCATGAATGGGTTGTCATGACAGGAAGTTGCTGTAAAGAAGTTTTTGGACCAAGATTTCTCTGGTGATGCACTGGCTCAGTTCAAATCTGAAGTAAGCTATTGTCTCTATATGCAGATGTATAATGCAGTCATATGCACATATAATATTCAATGCCCATTTATTGACTTTTTCAGGTTGAGATCATGTTAAGGCTGCGGCATCCTAATGTTGTGCTCTTCATGGGAGCTATTACTCGCCCCCCACATTTATCTATCTTGACAGAGTTTCTTCCAAGGTTAGTTTTGTTTTATACATTATGTTACATATTATTGGTTGGAAGACTGTGTGAAGGTTGCAAACGATTTGGACTTCTCTTTTTGTGATTTTCTTGAATAGTCTTGTTTACATTGATATCATGATATAAAATGCTTTATTTATTTATTTATTTTATTGATTCTGCATGAAGGTTAGTTTCATATATTGATGGCTTTTTTTTCTGACATATAGCCAACTTGCAACTTTGGTCCTTACTAAATCAATTGATTAATTTTTTTTCTTCTATATTCTTGTTTTTCTTTTTAAAGTATATGTGTTTCTTGACATACAGAGGCAGTTTATATAGGCTATTGCATCGTGCCAATCTTCGACTTGACGAGAAGAGACGGTTGCGCATGGCTCTAGATGTGGTATGAGCTGAAAATACTTTCCCTTTCTTTTTGTTAGTATAAATAAGAATTCATTAGGAAGAAGAGAGGAAAAATACAACTAGCCCTGTGTTGAACACCAAATAGAGGCCATGGATACAATTCTATCCCAAAATAAGTTTAGGGCCCCAGCTAGCTCTTTATAAATGCGAGCATTCCTCTCCAACCAAATTACTGTATAAACAATAATACATCATATTGTCACAAAATCTTAGCTTCTTTATTCTTGTCTGACCCTTTATACTGAACCATATGGAGATATCCAATGTTGATGGTCACCCAATTGGCACCAAGCACCCTACAAATTATCCTCATTTAACTTTATATATTGTATATTAGTTCTCTTTCGTTTATTTAATGTGAATTTACTGTGCACTTATCAGGCTAAGGGAATGAATTACTTGCACACAAGCCATCCTATCATTGTCCACCGGGATTTAAAGTCTCCTAATCTTCTTGTTGACAGGCATTGGGTTGTTAAGGTATTCTTACTTGAATTCTTCGTCTGGGCAGTTTACTTCACAGATGAAAATAAAAGGAATATTACTTGATTGCTTGAAGAGTAATGGATATTTTTTTTTCTCCATCATTAATAAATTTATATGGCTGACAAATGTGAGAATTGAAGAAATATCAATTTATTACAGAAACAGGTTAGGATTAAACATACCAAGAGAGTAGTGTAATTGATGAACATAAAGATGCACAAATTCCCCATAAATTAGTGTAATTAATCACCAATTTACTAACTCCTTGCAACTTCTTCCTATTTAATGGATGTCTATTAATGCTCCCCCCTTAAATGTTCACCTTGTCCTCCTCAAAGTGGATATCTTCAAATTTCAAATACAAGATATCTTAAACATTCAATAAAAAAGTGAGGGTGGGTGTTGCATAGAGAAAAGAAGAGAGGAAATTAAGGGTCCAGAGTTCAGAACAGGTGATTCCAAGTTCAGAGTAGAGAAAAGAATGAAGGTGGGTGTCACTGGAAATTTTGCTAGAGATGGGTGGGTGTTGGTCGCCCATTATAGGAAGAAAGGTGGGTGGGTGTTGTTCACAGCCTTAGTTTCGCATAGTAGATAGAAGAGTGGCAAACTACATTTCAATTAGCAATGTTTAACACGGCCCCAAAACAACCTTGTTTTACTTGTAGCAGCCCATGACTGCTCCGCAATGGTATCGCACACTATTGATATCTATGCTATATATGATATAAACATACATACTCACTAATATTTAAGCACTTTGAATTAAGTATTATCTCAGAAATTTCTGGGATGTGACATTTTCCCAAGCCATGTTTGGCACATATTAAAACGTTTTCAATTTGTGCTTAATCAATATGGCATTAGATTGGTGTTAAAATTATGTCTGACATGGAAAATATGTTACTAGGTTTGACACAAAATGATTTTTAAAGAATATAATGTTGGTAAATATTTTTTTTTTCACTTTTAACTCCAGCAAGTGATGGACATAGAACTATTGTACATTGATCAACTTAACCATTCATTGAAATTAAAGTTGATGAAAAAACAATGCTTTTCTCTTTGCCTTGTCATGCCTTCACATTTTTCTGTCCTATCCTTTCTATATACTATTGAAGTAGAAATATTATTATTATTATTATTATTATTATAATTATAATTAATAATAACTATTATTATTTATCTTTTGTTTGTCTTTTCACAGGTCAGTGATTTTGGTCTGTCGCGGATGAAGCACCATACATTTTTGTCATCCAAGTCTTGTGCTGGAACGGTAATTAATGTGGATAAAATCTTTTGGAAATTCTGTTATTACTCCTCCTTGTTCACCATTGACATAAAATAATCACTGTAGTTGGTTTTATTGTAGGATATATAATTTATTCAGAGAAAAAAAAATCACTAACTATATCTTTTGCCTGCAGCCTGAGTGGATGGCACCAGAAGTTTTAAGAAATGAGCCAGCCAATGAGAAGTAAGTTAATTCTGCATCTGTGTCTGCTTCATGGAAATATAGGCATAGAAGTTGGCAATGTTATAGTTAACGTTTGCATGCAGGTGTGATGTGTATAGTTTTGGTGTGATCTTGTGGGAGTTGACTACCACAAGAATTCCCTGGGAAGGTTTGAACCCAATGCAGGTTGTTGGAGCTGTTGGATTCCAAAATAGACGGCCTGAAATTCCAGAAGATGTGAATCCAGCAGTAGCACAAATAATACGTGATTGCTGGCAAACGTAAGTTATATTTCTCTACTTAATTTTTCTGATTGTTAAGTTAGCATCTAGCACTATGAATGTCAAAGGAAGTTCTGATATATGTGTAGTTACCATTTCGCCATCCCTTTATGAAATTGGAATGTGAACGCAGGGATTTGACTCCAAAGTAAGTTATGGTTAAGTCATCTCAGTCTTCGATGAGAAAAATAATAGTTGATATTCCAGGATATACATGATTTGTTTTGCAAGTATCATAATATCTATTGTTCCCTTTTCATCAACAACTAAGGGATGTAATGAATAGAGATTTTAAGAGATTATTTTGACAAGATTTGATAGAATTTTTTATATTGTCCGTTTGGCCCAACTCATTTGTAGCTTAATTTTTACTTATTAAAAGTTGTAATGACCGCCATAGCCATCACACTACGCAACACACAACTACTAAGCATAAACATATACTGAAACAGTTATATAGAATATACGCATCTACCTCTACCTCTGATGAATATATATAACTACGTTGCTTGCCCAGCTACCATATACAAATATATATATATATATATAAGTATCTGGCAACAACCGGTAGTCTACAAAAATAACAACATCCAACTCCAAGCATCACCTATGGCTCCACTGGTATTCTCCGGTTTATTCCTATCCTACTCTCATACCACGTATGATCATCGCAGTCCACACCACATGGAAATAGAAGGGTAAGCTAGTGAAAAGAATCAACATATACATATGTAT